TCTTTCACTAGCTAATATTGGATAAGCACAGGAGAAATACTATAATAATAATAAACTGGTACTTTTCACTGCTCTAATACCTTCTATCTCTGAATCTTAAAGCATCTTATAAACACTGACAAATCAAAGCTCACCCCACCCCAGTATATTAGGCATTACTATTTCAATTGTATAGGTATTGAAAGAGAGGCAGAGAGAGATTAAGGCCCAAATTTCCCGAAATGCTCACTAATGTTGACACCTCTTTTTTAGAATGCCTATCTTGAGAGAAAATGTCAGATTTCCAGTAGTGATAAACATTAATAACTCCCCAAGAACCTCTTTATTCCATATCTGTGCCTTCAACAGATTCCATAAAGCTTTTTAAAAAGTTTATAGCCCCACTTAAAACTATCAAAGTAGTTTTCATAAGCATAACAACATTGTCCAACTATACATAAGCATTTCTTTTAGGAACATCTACCCCAACCAGTGCTTGCCAAAATATTATGTTTCATACACAGCAAAATAATTGTAATAATAAAATGAGTATTACTACTCAGTAAATGCCACTGCCTATTAAAGGAATAACCTTGACAAAAGAAATTAATGGCACAATAACTTGACCAGCCATATTAAATCTTTGCCTGCCTATCAATAGACGTGAGATTGTCCTGAAAGTGCTACTGATGCCAAATATGCTATTTGGTGCTTAAATAATGTACAGTTATTAGGCTGCAATAATCATTTTACTACGGTATTTTTATCAGCATATTAATTTTGTCTGAGGTAACATACAAGCCAGGAGAATAAAACCATATGAACAGTAATCAATTTTTCCCTGTTTACATTCAATCCAAAGAGAAGGGAGAGCTATATTAATAATTTTGTTTCATATTGCCTCAAGGAAAAGGGTGCAGTATAAATTAATCCTTCTAGAACAGGTGAGGCAAACCTTATGTAAGACTTCTTAGTTAATTCCCAGAAAAACATTAGTGATAATACCTGAACATAAATCTTGACTGACAACAATGAAACTGAGGACGAAATCTACGATGAACTAAATAAAAAACATTAAGTTCACTCCAGGCCAGTTCACCCTTTATTTCGGTGAGGTTATACCTAGGATTAATTTGGCTTTAGTGAAATACATCATTTTGGCTGGTATTTTAAGTGTAGGAGATTCAAAATAATGGCTCAATATCAATTGGTTCCATGCACATATATAATCTAAAATGCTATCCATGTGTTTAAAATTTTTCATCGGGATAATATTTTGCAATTCTATAGCATTTTCCATTAAACTCAAAAGTATTTTATTGGAATTAATTTAGCCTCACAGCATGCCTGTGAAGTAGAAAGGTATAATCCCATGTTTTATACTAGATCAGGAGCGGGCAAACTATGGCCTGCAGGCTGCATCTGGCCCATCAGGATTTCTAATCCCACCTGCGGATTACCAGTCTGGTGGCAGAGCAGGGCCAAGGCAGTAGTCTTTCCTGCTGTGACCATGTGCTATTCCCGTAAGCAGATGGCATGTCCCTGTGGGTGAGGGAAAGGGCAGAGGGTCTCTGCACGCTACGACTGCATGCAAAAATCACCCCTTGCAGCTGCCATTGGTGGAGAACAGGGAACCACAGCCAATGGGAGGTGCAAAGATGTGCCAGTGGACAGCAGCTTCCAGAAGCCATAAACCACATCTCCTCCCACAGCTCAATCCCCTGCCCCAGCTGTACATGCATGTCCTGCCATACAATTTTTGTACTCAGATACAGACCTCAGGCCAAAAAGTTTGCCCATCGGGTAAGCCCTATTTAAGAATTTTGGTTTCCTTTCCATAAATACTGCAGGTGCTGTAACTGTAAGGATTATTTAAATTTAATTTCAAAAACGTTTTTTCTCCTCTCATAACCTTTAACTTTGGAAGGAGCCTCTCTTTCTCAGGCAGTCAGGTCCATCCTTAGGATTTATGGGGCCCTAGGCAGTACAGGCTGCCCCCGACTTGTGACGCGATCAATTCTGGGAATAGCATCGCAAATCAGGAGCGTCATAACTCGAGCCTGCATTTACGACAGGCATCGTGCGCCATTGTAAATGCAGAGCCGAGGATGTAAGTCGGGGAATTTCTGCCCTTTCTGCACTTACGGAAAAGGTCATAAATGCGGGAGGGGGTCATAAATCAGGCCATCATAAAGCGGGGACCTCCTGTATTATTAAACTGGTATCCCTAGGACAGACTTGTTTTTAGCAGAGACCTCCAGACCTGCTCCCTCACGCAGAATGCGCAACACCAGTGCATTTGGCTCTGTGAACATGGGTCCTGCCTAAGGAAAGTGCAGCGTTTAGTGGGTGTGTGGGAGCAGGTAAGAGTGGGCTGGCTGTTCCGGTGGTCAGGACCAGATTTACTGTCTTGTGGACCTGGGGCTATTAATTTTTGTTTTAAATTAGAGGAAAAAATTATCATATGTGGAAGGCAGGGATGAAGGCCTGGGGCTTTCCCTGGGGGTGTGTGTGTAAATCTCTGTAACACTTCCATATAACCATGTATCATTCTCATGTAACTTTGTATTAAGCCCTTTATGTTATAGGCCTTAGGAATAGTTAAGGTAAAGAAAAATGTCTTTTGCTAGGAGTAGAATAGATCTCTCCCCTTTCCTTGATTGCCCTGTTGAAATGAATGAAGTGTGAATGGAGAATGAAAGGTGAGCACCTCCAGCAGCAGTTGCCAAGGGTGGAGAGGGGAGCCAGATCCAAGACAATACCTGTGAAGCGAACTCATTGAAAAGAAGACTGGACATACAGATGCCTTGGGAGACTGAGCAGCAAGGGCCTGCCCTTGGAAGAACTCTCTTTGAAGTAGCATTAAGAAAGGCAGGGTGATGACTAATTGGCTGCATGAGAGGGATAAATATGAGGCATCTTGCAGAGGGACCCCAGCTTTTCATCTTGTCAACATGGGAGCATCGATCCAGATTTGCAGAAGCCCAGCTCCACCCCTCCCCCATCTAACTCACCTGGCCAGTGCAGTTAGGGGGAGCAACTATTGGTAACAACAAGATGGTGTGTATGTGTATGAGTAATGTATCATATGCATATGATAAAGTGTTGATTGATCTATGTATGTTCAATAAATGTGGCATGGTGCCTTATCCCCCTGAAAAAGATCCCGGGGGCTTCTTTTAAGTACAACAGAGGGATGAGGGGTTCAGAGTGCAGGAGAGGGCTCCAACCTGTGGCAGAGGGTTAGGGTGTGTGCAGAGGTGATGGCTTTGACTGTGGTGGGGCTGGTGGGTTTGGGGACTCCAGGTTGGGCCAAGAGGGATCAGAGCAGGAGGTTGGGAGGAGGGGGTCTGAGCAGGAGTTAGGTTGTGGGGGGGAGGGCTCAAGCAGGTGTGTGGGGCACTTACCTCAGGCAGCTCGCATTTGATGATGCAGCGGTGCTGAGACAGAATCCCTGCCTGCTCTGGCCCTCCCCTGCTCCCGTTAGTTACTGACATGTCCCAATAGACCTGAGGGGTGGGGACAAGTGGCTCTGTGCACTGCCCTTGCCCACAGACACTACTCCCACACTGCCCATTGGCAATGGTTCCCACCCAATGGGAACTGTGGGGGTGGTGCCTGTAGGCCAGGGCTGCATGTGCAACTTCCTTCATTGCTGCAAGCTGGGCAATCCTTGCTAATTCAGCAGGGGAAACCAAGTCTCAGGTCTTTGGTTGGTGGCATGAAGACTCGCTGTGAGCCAGATGAAACTAAGCAGGGAAAAGGATCTGGTCCATGGGCTAGAGGTTCCTTCCCTTATGTTAAACCGGCACTGCCAGGGGGGGCCCATATTTTCAGGTGCCCAATGCAGCTGTATATGCCTGAGGACAGCCCTGCTTCCAGTCCACCAGATGGGAATTCGCTAGCTGTTCCACAAGAGAGATGAGGAGCACCTACAATGCGGGGCAAGCACCACCATGCCAATAACCAGCAGGTACACAGCGCTCCCCAGTGCTGTGGTGGTGGAAGCTGACCGCTTGCTCTCTCCACAGTGGCCAAGCATTTGTTGGTACATGTGTTCTGATGGCTCCGAGGTGTATGGATTTTTGTTGAAGTGGCGAGTGTATGGCTGTTTATTGCTATGTACATGGTGTACTGTGCATGTACTGATCTGGTTTGATGGATATAATGAACGTGCAGTCAAATTTACATTCCTGCCCATGCAGCAGGAAAGCTACAACACAGCTTCCGATACAAACGGGTGGCCCTCGGGGATGCAGTAACCGCCCAGATCTCATTTAGGATGAAGACGAGGGGATTTCTAACTCCTTGTATGGCCAGATCAAGTCATAGCTGGAAGGCTGTTACATCTGCAGGGGGGCCAGGCCTAGGGTGGGCAGCTGCGGTTTTGGATGAAGGCAGGTGCGCTAATGGACCCAACACAGCTTCCGATACAAACGGGTGGCCCTCGGGGATGCAGTAACCGCCCAGATCTCATTTAGGATGAAGACGAGGGGATTTCTAACTCCTTGTATGGCCAGATCAAGTCATAGCTGGAAGGCTGTTACATCTGCAGGGGGGCCAGGCCTAGGGTGGGCAGCTGCGGTTTTGGATGAAGGCAGGTGCGCTAATGGACCCCACACACATCTCTGGGGAAGCGTCTGCCTGGCTCCGAAACCCCCCCGCCCTAACGCGCAGGTTCACCCCAGCCGGG